GCTCCTTTGTGCCGCCTCGCTGCTGGCCAGCCCTGTGTGTGTCTGGCATTGTCACTTTCCAGTCGGTACCTCCCCCCAGCCCATGTTGGGATGTGCTGGCTCCCCGATGCATTCGCCCACTATTGAAGCCTCTTTTTGCTGCCACCCTGCTGTTGGCAGCGCCCTGCCCTACCTGTGAACCTCCCTGCACCCTCTAGGGCTCCATGGGACGTGTAGCACACCCCTGCTGTGACACGCTTGCCGGCCGCCTGGGGCTTCTTGTCCACACACTGCCCGCCACGCCGCAGGCCCGGCGCTGCTGTCCCAGGGACTGAGTAGGATGCTGGGGCGCATCAGCTAACTTTTACTCTTGCCGCTGGAAGGACTCTGTGCGTCTGTCCTGTTGTTACAGGAGAGGAAGCGTGTCGGGCTCCGTTTCTGGCGGGGTTCGTATGAGGTGCTGTTAAAATGGCTGCTTTTGCTCTTTTGGCAAAGTGGCAGGTGGTGGGTTGTGGTGATGACCTCGGCCTAGCAGCGGCTCTGCCAGCAGGCTGAGGCCAGCCCCGCCAGGCCTCACCCAGGGCCTGGGCCACAGGTGCCAAGCCTCAGTCCTAGGGGAGGCGGGTCCAGAACCCTGGCGTCGGGAAACTGTAGTGGGAGCTGGCTTCACTTGTGTTCACCAGTGATAGAGTCTCAGGAGCAGACTGAGGCCACACACGACCGCAGGCTGGTTGGATGCGTGTGGCCCCTGGTGCCCCCAGCCACTCACTCAGAACACAGATTTCAGCTCCCCTCTTACTGCAGCTTTGGACCGGTTGCTCTTTTTTGGGTTTTGCCGTGATTTGGAAGGAGCGTCCCCCGCTCTGGCTCTGTGAGTGACACAGGTGTTCTATGCCCTCAGGCAGTACTGTGGTCAGCCAGGCCTGTCCTCGCCTGATGACGGTGGGCTGCTCTTCACGTGTGAGGTTAGACCGAGTGGGTCTGGCGTGGGGTGCATGTTGGTGTCAGTACAGCAGTGGGCAGGCCGAGCTTTGGGGTCCTTCCTGGCCCATTCAGAAACACGGGCCTGGGGGTGCATGGGCATGCTGGGCTCCGAGGCCGTCACTGTAGCCTTAACCCTGCATCTGAGGCCAATGGCCTCTGAGTCCAGCCACCGCAAACTGACTGTGGTCACAGCCTGGTCACCAGGGTGAGGCCTTGTAACATGCCTGGCCCTTCACCAAGGAGTGAGCAGGACCGAGGTCTCCAGGTTTCTTCATGTAGTGGAGATGGGGGAGGCAGGCCTCGTGCCTGTGGCGCTCTGTCACTTTCTCCACCAGGCCTGGCCCTCTTCCGGACCCCCGTGTGCACACTCAGATGTGTCTCCCCCCGATGCCTCTCAGTAGGGGTGAGAATTAGCGGTGTCCTGTGCACAGGGAGGCCCTTTGCTGCGGGAGCACTGGCCCAGCCGCCCGTTCGCCATCTTCCCTGCATTCTGCAGCCCACAGAACAGCCCAGCAAGGGTGGCAGAATCTGCACGGATACTGCTGTTTCACTGGTGAGAAAAGTGAGTCCTGGGAAGGACGGTGGGTACCTAGTGTCCCATCCTTCTCCTGCATGGGATGCGTGCCAGTGCGAGTTTGTGCGGTGGTGCTGGGGCCACGCTCCGGGCCGTGAGTCGCGGGCAGGCGACACGGGGGCCAGGCAGCAGGGAATTGACGGTGGCTGCAGCATCCTGTTTCCAGGGCAACGGTGGCAACAGTGTCAGCTGTGTGACTCAGGCCCTGACTGTCCCACAGGTGTTTCCTGAGGTTCGATTCTGGCTGTGGTTGGTCTGTGGCCAGTTTTGGTTCCTACAGGTTTCTGAGCCTGTTTCTCCTGCCTTCCTGAAGTTCTGGGAGTTATGGGACAGCCTTTCAGTACATTGCTTTTGTGCTAAATGAGCTGCTATGAGGTTCTGGCACTTGGTATTCGGAGTGTGCCTGAGACAGGGGCTCATGGCTTTCCATGCTCTGGGTCTGAGGCCTGAGCCCAGATTTGTAAGGAAACCACTTTCAGCCTGACAGGCACAGCTTAGGTAGGAGACGTGAGTTCTTGATGAACATAAGCCAGTGTCTATGCAGGACCGCTCAGAGCTCTTAACACACTAATACGCAGGGCAAGTTTCCCAGGAAGGGACAGTGCACTCATGTTTCTCCCCCCACAACCTTTCTCTAAGTAGGCTTCAGTCTTCTAGAACCCACTGCGAGCAGTGCTGTGGCAGGCTTGTGGCCTGGATGGTAGAAATGCTGCTCCTCATATCCGGGTCTGTCTGAGAAGCCTCTTCCATGTGTGACATGTCTGTCTTCAGCGGAGCCCTGACTCCTGGTAATAGATCCCTGGCCCAACACCCACTGGTGGCTCAGGGTGACTGGAGCATCCACAGATGTGAGGGCTCCAAGGAATGAGGGGAGGCCCCAGGGGGTGGGGAAGGGTGGCCACCCGCTGTTGAAGACAGTAAGGATTTTGGTGCTGTTGCGTAAGACTGCGAGGAGAGCCGAGTGCTCTATGTGACAGGATCGAAGGCCAAGGACATGTGGTTAAAATGTCGACTGTGGCAGGGATAATGGTAATCCCCAATCATTCCCGGAAGCCAGGTATTTACCTATGTTCCCGCTAAGCCCTGTGCAGGCTCTGTGATTTAGGTGTCCCTTACCCCACAGATGAAAGCACTTGTGGCTCTGCGTAGGTGACTTTTGCCAAGTGATAGGCCATGGGGGGAGGCCACCATCTCCTCCCTGCCCCTCCATGGTGAAGTGGGGATCCATGGATGTCGGGGTGGTCGAGGAATGCGATGTGTCAGAATGTTTCTGACATTGGGCGAACATCACAATCCTGTGTCCCCTCACTGGGAACTGGAGAGGAGTCTGATTCAGACCCTGGTCACACCGCACAGAAAAGTGCATGTTGAGCAGGGTGGCTCTGCAGCCCGGGGCTTAGGATGGGATTTTGGGGGCAGTGCTCATTCACTGTGTGGTTTGGGGGTACTGCTTGACCTAGTGAGGGGCATAAATGCACTTCTCTCTGTGGCTACCGGGAAGACTGATGAGGGAGTCAGTGTGTGGCATTAGCAGCGGGTGGAAGGACGGGGAAGGGAAGAGGTCAGCAGTGGGGATGGCGAGGCCACTGCATGGGGAGGTCAGGGAGAGGACGAGCACCTGAAGGACTGCAGTGTCAGGCCCCTGAGCTGCCTGGGAGGGCCGGGCCTGCGGATAGCGTAGGAAGGGTGCAAGAGCGTGGACCTTGAGGGGCTCAGCAGACACGGTGTATGGAGGCCAGGGTAGGTGCTCAGGGCTGCGCTGTCCCCGTCACGCCCGGGCAGCAGGAAGGCAGCCACAGCCAGTGCACAGACGGAGGAGTGGGGCTGCATTCTGGCAAAACCTGACTTACCAAAGCAGGTGTCGGGCCGAGTATGGCCTGTGGGCCGCAGTTTGTGGACCTGCTGTAGCCTCTTTGTGTAATTGGCAGCTGATTGGTTGTTCAGGGTGAGGGGTGGAAAGGGCCCAGTGGTAGCTAGGGTCCCAGAGAAGTCCTTCCTGGCATGACAGTTGATGAGGCCTCAGGGAGGATGGGGTGGAAATGAGCGGGAGCTGGCAGTGGTGGGAGCCAGTGTTTGACAGGGTGAGCGGGAAGGAGAGTCCCTAGGGTGAGTCCTGGGTGCTGGGGGTGCACGGCGAGGATGGATGGCAGTGACGCCCCCTAAAAAGCCGCGCGCGTATAGGAGAGCATTTTTGCAGGGTTATGTCATGGACGGTTCGTAGGAGGTGCCTGGGGACAGAGCAGCTATCGGCAGCCCCGGACCACGAGGGTCCCGCGTGGGGAGATGTCCCGTGTCAGGGCATGGCTCGCAGCTGCCTTCGGGCCGACCGCTGGGAAATGCTGGCATGTGAGTTCACGCGGTCGTTTGTGGGAGGAGGAACTGCAGGGGGTGGACAACAGGCTCCGGGGCCCCCATCTGCATCCCCACAGCCTGCGTCAGCTCACGTCTTTGGCCGCAATTGGGGTGACTTTTATCAAAGTGTTGGTTTGCCTGAACTGCCTGGCTCCTGCCTGTTCTCACTGTATCTGTTCACTCTTCCTGGCCTTTGTTCTGCTGACCAAAATTAATATCTATCAGATTTAACATGGATGGGACATCATATGATAGCTTTTTTGTGTTCATATGCTTCTCTGAAAGGAAGTGAAAGGCACAGGTGGCCCTTGAACAGCATGGGATTAGGGGCGCTGGCCTCCATGCAGTCGAAAATCTGCATGTGACTTTTGACTCCTGAAAAATCTAACTAGTAAGAGCCTACTATGACCTCCCTGTGACAATAGCCAATTGTCACGTGGTTTGTTTGCGTTTGTATTATGTACTGTGTTCTTGTAAAAAAGTAAGCTAGGGAACGTGTTAACATTTAAGGCAGGTAAAAATACATTTACAGTCCCATATGGGAAAACCAGGCAAAGTGGTCTACGAAGTTCAGACACATGTTGTTCATGGTCAGCTGTGTGTTTTCCACCCATACAGGTTTCATTGCAAAGTGCGTGAGGTCACTGCCGGCCAGCACAGCTCCCACTGCCCAAGAGCTGTGTCCACCCTCACTCCATCTCCACATTCACTCCATGATGCCTGGTGCCTCAGTGTACTTTGTTCAAAATATCGAGTGGCTTCAGTCTGTGTTGACGAGAAAGTTGGTAACTATTTTGTTGGAGCAAGGGCAGCTGGGCTCTAGGGACCCCGTAGAGGGAGCTCTGGTCATTTTAGCCTCTTCGACTGAGTCCCGGTTCAAGGTGAGGCAAGGGAGCAATTGAAGGAAGCAAAGCACGTGAGCCACTGGTTGTCCGCTCCAGTAGTCACGGTAGTTTTCCGTCTCTGAAGTAAGCACATTACAAACACGAGGCATCTGATGGTTAAGTTCCGAGAACGGGGAAGAACTTCAGAAGACGTTTTGTCGTTGTGATTTCAGAGGGACCATGTTTTCCCATACATACATAATTGCTTTAAAAACCATGTTTTGTAGGTGCCTGGGAGAATGGACCAGACCTGTGAAGTGAAGCACAAGGTGATGGACAGCCCTCTGGGGAAGGTTGAGGTCTCTGCCTGTGAGCAGGGCGTGCATGAGATCAGGCTGCACGGCATGAAGAGCCCAGATGCCAGGTGAGTCCCCTACAGTACACCCCCCTTTGTCCCCCCCCCCCCCCCGGTGTCTGTTGAGAGCAGCACAGAAGCTGGGGTTACTGCGGCCCAACATGCAGCCACACGCTGGCAGGCACCAGCCTTGGCCTGTCCCTCGGCAGGGCCAGGACTCTTCCCATCATCAGCGTCTGCTGCTGCCGAGCATCCTCCCCCTGCAGGTGACCACAGGTGCACCACTCTAGCTAGTGGCCCAAGATGTCTGATTGACATTCCCGTTTACAGAAGTGCTAGGGGGCTCAGCCCGCTCAGTGTCTGACTCTTGATTGCAGCTCAGGTCATGATCCCAGAGTCGTGGGATCGAATGCCATATTAGGCTGTGCACTCACTGTGGAGGCTGCTTAGGATTCTTTCTCCCTCTGCCCCTCTCCCCTGCTTGCATTCTCCCTCCCTCACTCTCTCTGTCTCTATTATAAACGATAACAGGCGTGCCTGGGTGGCTTAGTCAGTTAAGCATCCGACTTTCGCTTAGGTCGTGATCTCGCGGTTCTGGATTCGAGCCCCGCGTCTGGCTCTGTGCTGACAGCTCAGAGCCTGGAGCCTGTTTCAGAGTCTGTATCTCCCTCTCTCTCTGACCCTCCCCTGCTCACACTGTCTCTCTCTCTCTCCTAGAAATAAATAAAAAAATATTTAAAAAAAATAAAAATAATAACAAAAAATTTACAGAGTAGTCGATGGACTATGGGAATCTCTCTGGAAATATGTGTATGTGTGTGGGGTGGGGGGAGATGCTTCTCTGACCTTGATGCTTTTAAATCAGGACCAGACTTCGTTGTTCCAAGTCTGCCAGGTGAGTGTTCTGTCGAAGTCTTGTTATTGCTGATTCGGAGCTTTCATCACCCCTGTGTTGTCAGACAGGCGGGGCGGGGGAGCCCCCCAGCGTGACGTTACAGCACCGCCATTTCTAACAGGACACATGCTTTTCCTCTTGATGGATTTCCACCGTGTTTCTCTTAATTGTAAAAACATAAAACATTTAAAGCGCTCTGTAACGTTTGGTTCTGAAATGTAACGTTTCCTCCATCCATCGATTGTGAGTTGTTGTATTAAAATTGCAGTTCTCGTTACTTCTGACAGAAGAGGGAAAAACCACCCACTCCTGTTCAGTGTTTGTCTTAACTGGCTAATAAACACAGTGCCAGAGAACATTAGATAAAGAAAATACATAGAAACATAAAAATTGATTTTAATGGACCCCTGTCAGAGACCGCCATAATGAGCACAGGCATGGTAATAAATACCCGTTTTCGCCTCCAGTGTCGAGATTTTTTCCTGTCGAGCTGCATGTTACAATCAATAGTACTTTTTTTTTAGGCCAAAAAAAAAAAAAAATCAAACCTTTGAACTATATGAATACACTCTTCTCTTTCTATGAAAACCATCTGGCCGTGGTGCTCAGAAAATCACAGACACCAAATAATTCGTGGGGAATGTCATTTTGTCTCTTAGCATATTCACTTGCCCAATAAATCACAGAAATTTTGTTGAACTTTTTGCTTTAAGAAAAATTTCCTTGAAGTGAATTTGGGGAAGAAGAAAAAACATAAGACATTTTGTTAAATGCTCACTCTGGTGATGAGAACAGAAGGAAGAGGAGGCTTAGTTTTGAGCTGCTGCTTTCTGCTTCAGGGTTGGCTTCAGCAGTGCAGGAGTTCAGCGGTTTCAGTACGACAGTCTCGTAGATGAACGGTGGAGGCTCAGTCTCGTGCCCCCCCCGCCCCTGGTTCTGGTGCTTTGGGCCCACCTCTGGGGTGCGAGCTGCTATGCTCCCGTTCCAGGCAGAGGAGAGAGAGAGACACCCACCTCCCTTTCCAGCAGGAGCCCCTAACATCTTCCTGTCACAGGGCCACCACCTGGCTGGGAGCCATGGTCAGCGAGATTCTGTGTGTAAGGGAAAAGCAGAAAGTGATTTTCAACCAGCAGTCTGTTACCTACACACGGTTAACTTTGGGAGGGCCATTTAAAAGTTACAGATTCAGGGGCTCCTGAGTGGTTCAGTCGGTTAAGCGCCCGACCTCGGCTCAGGTCATGATTGAACCCAGCTCATGGGTTCAAGCCCTGTGCCAGGCTTGGTGCTGATAGCTCAGAGCCTGGGGCCTGCTTTGAATGCTGTGTCTCCCTCTCTCTCTGTCCCTCCCCCACTCACACACACTCTCTAAAATGAATAAATGTTTTTGAAAAAAGCTTAAAAAAATAAAAGTTACAGATTCAAAAGTTCTTCATGAATACTCAGAACTCATAATTCTTTTTTTAAATGGTAGAAAGTTGAGATTTTGAGGAATGTGTATAGCCAAATGGCTACCAGCCTAAACCAAGATCTGGAACTCTCACCCGGCTGCTCCCTTGTGCTCCCTGCTAGTCCCAGGTCCTGTTGGTGTCTCCTGTTCTGACTTCTGTCTCGATTAACTGTGCTCATTCTTGAGCTTTATATAGAGTTTAGGATATGCTCTTCTGTACTGGATCAGTACAGAATCGTGTTCAACGAAGTTTCTTGAGGGTCACCGTGTTGTGTGTACCAGTCAGTAGTAGGTCGTTCTTAGTGGTGAGTGTAGTTTATTCTCCTGTTGACGACATTTGAATTGTCCAGTTTTTGGCTAGTTGGGGGTAAGGTTGAAATTTTTGTTCAAGCTTCTTTGGACCCCTTTTTGCTTCTCTGGAGTCAGCTCCTAGGTGTGGGATTGCTGGTTTGCAGGGCTGTGTTTAACCTCCCAAGAAACTGCCAAAACTTTTCCCAAAGTTGAACCATTTTATACTTCTTTCCGCCAGAAATTGCAGGGGTTTCCGTTTCTCTGTGCTCTCACTGATGTGTGTTAGTTTCTTTTTTTTTTTTTTAATATTTTTTTAATGTTTTTTATTTATTTCTAGGAGAGAGAGAGATAGACAGCGTGAGCAGGGGAGGGTCAGAGAGAGAGGGAATCACAGACTGAAACAGGCTCCAGGCTCTGAGCTGGCAGTCAGCACAGAGCCCGACGCGGGGCTCGAACCCATGAACCGCGAGATCATGACCTAAGCGAAAGTCGGACGCTTAACCGACTAAGCCACCCAGGCGCCCCGATGTGTGTTAGTTTCTAAAGTTTTAGCCATTCTAGTGGGCATGAGATGTTCTCGTTCTGATTTTAACTTTGCTCATGACCTCCTCTAACCACCTCTGTTGACCACTGCTGCCTTTTCGTTGTGGCATCTGTGTAGGTCTTCTGCCTGTTTTCACTGAGCATCCTATTTCGTTTATCATTGATTTGTGGTTCCGGTCATCAGTCCTTTATCAGATACTGACATACGTATTTGTGTATTTGTACGTATTTGTGTATACATATTTGTGTATTCGTGTATTGCCATATGTATTTCACAATTGGATGCTTGTTTTTATTCTGATGCCATCTTCCAATGAGAAGTTCTTAATTATGAGGGAATATAACATAATGATTTTCTTAGCATTTTTTTGTCGTTAGGATTTGCCTACTGTTAACCTCTCCAATATTTTCCAATAAATTCTTCTAAAACTTGATAATTTCAGCCCTTATGTGTAGACCTAGGGCCCATCATCTTGAACCACCTTGTTGTGAGGTACTCCGTTTTTTTTCCAGTTACTTAATTTTCTCATTTAGGAGGAGAAAACAACTCTCTCCATTGAATCCCCTTAGCACATATGTCAAATCAGTTGACTACTTGTGTGGGTCCCTGTGTCTGGACACTCTGTGGTTCAGGTGACGTCTTCATCTGTCACACGCCAGAACTGTGTGGATGTGATTACACAGCTTTGTGATAAGTCTTAAATTAAGGTAATTAGGCTTCTGACTTGTATTCTTTCTTCCTAAAGAGTGTTTTGGCTTCGATGTGTTTTAATTTTCCATATTAAAGAATCAAGTTGTCCAGTATTGATCGGGATTTTGGTTGGGGATTCTGTAAATTTTTGTACCCAAATTGGGAGGGTTGGCCACTTTAAAAATCTTCCAGTTTATGAACATGGTTTATGTCTTCATTTATTCAGCTTGTCTTTAAGTTTCTTCTGTATTCTAGTTTCCAGCATAGAGATCTTGTATGTCTTTTGTAAATCTGACTTCTAAATATTTTAGTATTCTAAATTAATTTAAAACGGTTTTTCTTGGGGCGCCTGGGTGGCTTAGTCGGTTAAGCGTCTGACTTTCACTTAGGTTATGATCTCGCAGTTTGTGGGTTTGAGCCCCGCGTCGGGCTCTGTGCTGACTGCCAGCTCAGAGCCTGGAGCCTGTTTCAGAGTCTGTATCTCCCTCTCTCTGACCCTCCCCTGCTCACGCTGTCTTTCTCTCTCTCTCTCCTAGAAATAAATAAAAGTATTTAAAAAAAAAAAAAAGTTTTCACTGACTGCTGTTAAATCATTTTTTTATGTTGATTTTTGATATGTTGGTCTTCTGTCCTCTTACTGAATTAGTAATTGTAGGAATTGTTTTGCAGATTCCTTAGTATTTTTGATATAGAAAGTTGCTTCTGTGATCAAAGGCAACTTCTTTCTGTTCTTTATGCCTTTTATTTCCATTCTCGCCACTGGCGGGGCCTCCAGCGTGTGGAGTAAAAATCGTGATGGTGAATATTCTTCCCCTGTTCCAGTCATGGGGGTTTCTGATTGCCGAGCCAGAGGGCTGCCCCTATGGGTCTTACAGGTGTCCTTTCTCAGATGGAAAATCTACTGAGAAAGTAGATTTCTACTTTCCTCTACCTGGTGGACTTTGTTATTCTGTTTGTACGTGTCTCAGCGTTATCCCATTATTATTATTATTATTACTTTTTTTAAACAAGTGGTAAGGGGCACTTGGGTGGCTCAGTAGGTTAAGTGTCTGACTTCAGTTCAGGTCATGATCTCATGGTTCATGAGTTTGAGACTCACATCAGGCTCTATACTGACGGCTCAGGGCCTGGAGTCTGCTTAGGATTTCGTCTCTCTCTCTCAAAAATATTAAAAACAAAATTTTTTAAAACAAGTGGCGAAG